ACTAAGGCTCTCATAATCATCCTCACTTGTGTCGCCGCCAGTTGTATTGGACACTCTGATGTTATCTGGATCTGGCATGATCTGTGTTTCAAGATTAGAATCCCGGTTGAAGTCCCGCCCCTTGTAGGCGATCGATCCAGGAACTTGCCTCAATGCTGAGATCGCTTGTGTTTTGTCCTTGTACCTGATGTCATGCATCTTGCATAAGATCTTCAGATCCGTGTAGTGAAGACGAAGGAGTTGCATGTCCGTCATCAGTTCGACCCCGAAATTAATGCTCCGTTTTGCCTTCGACTTCGCTGCCGACACGTTGTGAGTAATCTTCGTTCGTCCTCTCTTGGGTGTGGAGGGATTACGCGTCCCAATCTGCTTTTGTTCGGTGCGCTTCTGCTTGGTATGCTTCGGCTCGGAATGTTGTGGCTGCCATGTACTGAAGTTGGTAGTCCAGCCATTGTCCCCACATATCCGTTCGGATGAACCGAAGACGACACGATTGGAGTGCAGGTACGAATCGGTTCATTGATCTTCTGCAACACGCCCTTCACAACCGCCTGATCATACTTTATTAGCTTCAGGTTGTTGACCTCCTTCTGAAATTCCGATACCATCCTTTCTACTTTATCTTCCGCCTCTGCATTCTTCTGACTGGTTGCGCTTGGACCAGCTTGATTCTGTCCCCCTTGGTTCATCTCTGTCGGTTTTAGTGCTTCATTAATCATGGACTTGAGCGCGTCCGGAGTTAGCTCAGGCTTCTTTACGGTGTCTTCCTTGTTCGGAGGAGCTGGCTGCTTTTCACTTGTCTTTCAAGTGAGTTGCTCCAGTGTCTTGCGAACTTTGTCAATCTCCCAGCGGACCTTAAAATTTTTTTCCTTTAGATCCGTGGTAAACCACGCTCTATTTCCTGATGGGGGGAAATCATTCCGTCTTTGCTCCCACAATGGTCTCGAGAACCACCTTGGAGATTCTGACTCCACTCTTTTTCTCCGTGACGATGGTGATCTTGACTTATGCCTTCTATCTCTCGGAGTTTTCGATCTCCCCCTTCTTGAGCGCTTCCTCCCTTGAGATCCGGAAGATGATGATGAGTGTCTGCACCGCCTCCTATCCGACGATGATCGCGAACGCGACATCTTCCTTGAAGCTTGGGAATGTCAGGTAGGTAGTTTTCATACTTGAAATCGATAAAAAACCCCACAAAGCAGTTGATTGTCTTCAGTACACACCAGATAAGTAAAATAGAATCTCCAAAATCGCTGAGTAATCTCCAATAAATCGTCACTATGATATCATGAAAGAAAAGGGTTAAGAATGATGAGAGAGAGATAAAGACAGTGAATGTAAAATGGAAGAGTGACAGGTCTATACAGTGCCAATCATCGCGGGTACCGCCCGCAAGTTCTAAGCACCGTGCATAGAGATAAACACATGCAAATGTAGACAGGACGTTCGAGGTTTTACTTTCACAGCATACACATGCACATGCAGACAGAACATGCGAGGTTTTACTTTCACAACATACACGTAATGTTCATTGCATGCGACACCAGTCACGATTACCCTTTTACCTCACTGCTCAGGTAATCATTTCAGCCACTATCCTCAGTATTTATACCCTTATTTTCCAGTCCTTCTCGGCTACTTTCCCTATCCTTGCAGTGTACTCATCATCTATCCTCAGGATCTCCTGCAGTCGCTCTCTGTGTTGTCATTGTCGTCGTCGATTTCCAACATGCCTTCAATCTGGAGCTACTTTCATAATCTCTAATGATTTTGTGCGTGCTACTCACGTACTCTCCTCTCTGTCGGAGTTCCGTCTTACTGTGGTACTTGCCTATAACTCCGCTGTTTTTTTATACTGACTCGAATCTGACCTTGTTTGTTGTTCTGTTCTTGTTTACTTTCATGGCCATGAATTTTCCTTCATTTCCAGGTGAGTATTTTTTCTTTATTGGTTCGTTTCCACTGCTTTAGGTCTTTCATCTTCTATCTATTTCGTATGTTTGGAAATGTGAGCGACACTGTTACGTCGTTATATCTGCAGAAATTCCGTGATATTCCGGAGTATTTAGTCGTGTATGTTTCTTTTTCGTCCCTGAAAATTTATTTTCATTCCGTGCAAAATTATATTTTTAATTTTTGATTTTTGATTTTTCGATTTGTGATTTTAGCTTTATATTCCGAGTCGTGTGAATTTCTTGACGTATTTTATTTCGGACTTTTTGTTTTATATCCATCGATTTGGTGCTTCTTGCTTTTTCAGGTACTCCTGGAATTTATTTCGGACGTCCGCGTCCCTGCAGTTTCGGATGAACGCAAGTATCGCGGCGCGGGTTATCCTCCATGGGTAATCCATGAGTCGGAGTTCCCGTCCGAACAGGTCAATTACGGGCGGTAGATCCGCCATCTCATATGTGTTAGCTACCATTCGATGAAAAGTTTCGATAATCGTCAAGGTTTTGGTTCTCTCAGAACCCGCACTCCTGAAGTGACGCAACGTCATGAGAGAGAGGG